ATTGTTACCTATGTATGAGTTTTAGAAGTTGAATTGAAGATACGGTTACTAGTCAAGTGTACTGGATGTGCATAGCAATTTGAATTCACCTGCAATTTGTATACCTTTGGGGAATGATCAGTTTTACTTCCAACAAGATCTCTTAAAACGTGTATAGGTTTTTTGGCATCCCTGTATATATAATGATGTGGTATCTATGTTAATATTCTTCACATATTCGGTTTAGTTCATGTTGAAAATGTGTTAGAGTTTTAGATTCATCTGTCAAGCTCTTGAGCAGTTTATCTATTCAGAATTTAGACCATATGATTTTAAGGCAAGTGCCTTTGCTGCAGGGCACATTTGTAAACAGGGTTACTTGGTTTTAGAATGAAGCCATCTCTAGTCCCAGGACTCTAGCAATTCAAGGGAAGAATTTTGTTCTTTTGCTCTTTGTCTCATCAGAGCTTGTTTACTGTCACCTAGAAGAGGGCCTGACACGGGTGAGAGACTCAGAACATGTGTCACCACAGAAATAACTAAGCAAATTTTTAAGTAATGAATAAATGACTAGACCTCATTCAGCCAAAGAGGGGCATTTGCATGATTTCATCATGTCTCACAGATGTCCCCAACGTCAGCCTGTTGCTACACTACTTCATTGATCAAATGATGATAGCTTAAGCCATGACCATTCCGGAAAGTAGGCTATTTCAGAGCATCCCCCCTCAAGTGATTTCTGAGACTCATAAGGGGCCCTCCAGGTGCCCACATACCAGTCTGCTTGCCTTAGTCCTCATCTAGAACCTTCTCCATTCTTCCTGTCCATCTTCTGTGGCCAGGGCCCTTGAAGACTGTCAGAGAAGCCGCACTGCCAAACAACAGATGCCAGCACTGTGCCAGGCGTGCTGCTCCCAGATTCTCTCAAAGCCTCAGAGAGAATCACTGAAGTCCTTAGAGAAGCAGGGCCGAGGGGCTCCTTCCCAGCTCTTGACACACTTTGTACCCAGACTGAGAAGGAGAGCAGCTTCAGGACAGAGTCCCATGGGCTCTCTTAGAAATATGTCATCACTCTTAACTCCCATGGAGTGTGGATTCCAAAGGCAGGCTGCAGGCTACAAGCTGCACAGTCACAGATGCAACTGTGACCTGCCCTCCTCCACTTCCCTGCCAGGCCACTTTCCCCTCTTCTCCTTGCACAAAGCAAAGACTTCTGGGCTTATCAAACAGTGGAAATATCCTGGAGTTGAGGATGCTTGTAGGGGGTCCCCTCTCCAAGGACATGGTGTTCTAGTATGTGGGCCACAATCTTAGCAAAGGATACGAGCCTGATACTGAACTTGTAACAGCAGATGCAAAGCCAATGCCAAGTATTTTATGTATATTAGCTCCTGTCACATTGAAGTGGGTGGCACCAGAATTAGGACCTAGGGCTGGCAAACTGTAAAGCCCTTTGGTGCTTCATATGATTAGAGAGTCTGAGCTCAGCCATGGGAAGAAAATGACTCTGTAGAGTTCCCTGAGTCACATCTGGAGATTGATGTGACTCAAAGCTCCATGCTTAGGGCCAGGAATGGGTGAGCCTGCCCAGTGTGCCATCCCTGCCTCCCAGCCCTGTACCCGGAGGCCTGATTTGTAGGTCTGGGCTGCAGTGGGACTGAGCAGGCAGCCCCTCCTTGTTCCCAGAGTGAGACTGTTGCCTAATGCAGGCACTTGGCTGGCCTCAGCATACTGGTGGGCGCTCCTTCAGTGCTGAAGATATTTTCTGGTCCCTGAGGTTTGCCTGCAGCCCCTCTTCGATCCCAGCATGGCTCATGCTAGCTGCTGATGGATGACTTTCCCATCCATGCCCAGTTTGTTCTGCCTGGTTTAAACTCCTGGCTCATCCAGGAACCCACCCTGTGTCTCAAGGTCCACATGCTGGCCTGAGCTTCTAGCCCAGAGATGACACTGCTTCCCAGATGCCCATGCCCAAGACAGGCCTCCCATTTCCTACCCTTGCTCCAGATCCCATTTCTCTTTAGCCAGTCATTTCTGGACTTGTCCTGTTTGGGAGAAAAGTCCAATCCAGGCAGACAAGGCCTGCAAACGTGGTGTTTGGACAAAAATTTTCAGTCTCTTCAGAGTCAGATCTGGGACTCAAAGAATCAATCCACCCACCCAAATAGCCAGGAGGCAGGCTGTGTGACACAGTCCGGCTGTGGGTCAGGAAGACACAGAGAACACAAATGAAAGGGAGCAGGGAGCAGGAGGTCAGCCTGGCCTTCAGTTAATACATTTTATTTACCATTTACAAAAGAGGTTGATTGCATGCAAGTTGGAAGGATGTTGTGTTCCCTGTGGAGGGCTAACATGATCCAGAGCAGCCTGCTCCTGAGACATAGGCTGCAAAGAATCTGTTCAGTCTGGGGTCCTGGATTGCTAGAGCCCACCTCTCACTTAATACTGTCTGAGTTGGGGACTTCAGAAACCCCCACAAGGATCTGCACACTGGCATGTCTCAGCAACAAAACACAGACTCAGAAACCAAGAAAACCACATCTGTGTAAATAATCTGTTCAAATAAAATCACTGATGTATTCTAGGAGGCATGTTAGTGAGTGGAGCATAATGAAAAAACTGTTGTACTTTTCGCTCCCTGTATACACGTCCAGATTCCTTATAGCTGGTTCCTTACAGCAGGGCAGAAGCTCTTTGTATTAACCAGAGAGGCCTTGTGTGGTTTCTCCTGTGGGGGAACTTTTCACAAGATGAAAAGCTCGGTGTGCCCCAACTAGAGGAACATGTCAAGGAGCTGGGAGCCCTCGGACCAGATCCCTGCAACCCACCTGCTACGAGGCCTCAGGCAATTCACTCCTTCCTTGGGAACTCCTGTTCCTCAT